ACATGAGAATCCAACAATGCTAGCGTTTTCGGAAGTGTCTGTTGGAGTATCAAAAGGCAGGGGAAAGAATTCGAGGTTAACGACGGAGGAACGTCGCAAAGGCCCTTTTCTTCCGGATGGGCGAGAAATTTGTCGTAGTTTCAACTATAATTTTTGTTTCCGTAATGACTGCAAAATGATGCATAACTGCGCCATTTGTTTCTCTAGTGCACATTCCGCATTGAATGGCCATGGTCAGCCGATGACAAAAGCAAAAATCAGGATATGCCTCAAATTCAAAACAAGTTGTAGAGAACAAGTCGACTTCCGCAATTAATACTTTGCATTTTGAGGCTTGGTGTCGCCTTTTACCTAGTGATATTATAGATCGGGAATTCATTTTGGATTGAGTAAAATATAGTTTTAAATTGAGTACAAAATTTGGTCCGCATTATCCTGTGAATCGGGAAAGCTATTCTTCCGCTTTTAATCTTCGCACCCAAGTAGAAAAACAAATAAGAAAAGAAATTGCCTTGGGTAATTATGTTGTAACTCACAAAATTCCAACTCTTGTCAGTTCATTAGGGGCCGTGCCTAAACCAAATTGTGATATTCGCTTAATACATGATGCTAGTCAGCCAGTTGGAATTTCTTTAAATTCCTATACAAGTGATACAAATTGTTCTTACAAGGATATGCATCATGCTTTAAAACTTATCAAACCTAATAATTATCTAGCAAAAATTGATCTTAAAAGTGCATACAGATCTGTCCGTTGTCACAGTTCTGATCATGATTTAACAGGCTTAAAGTGGACCTTTTCTGGCAATGATAGTCCTGCTTACATGTATGATTCTAAGCTACCTTTTGGCCATTCCCGCAGTCCAAAAATTTTTCAAAAACTAAGTGAAGCTGTGTGTTTTATTATGAAAAGGTTAAATAATGTAATATGTATTGCATATTTTGATTATATTTTAATAATTGCAGATACAATGTGTTCTTGTAGTAGAGGGTTACAATTGTTGATACGTATACTTTACGAGAACTAGGTTTTAATATTAATTGGTTCAAGGTAGAGGGGCCATCACAACGCATTACTTTCTTAGGTATAATTATAGATACCCGCAAATTAATATTATCCATGCCAAAAGAGAAACAGACTGAATTTTACAATTTTTAATGACTTTTCAGAAGCGCAAACGCGCAAGTGTTAAACAAATTTAGTCACTTTGTGGTAAATTGAACTGGGCCTGCCAAATGGTGAAAGGTGCGAGAACCTTTTTGAGACGCACGATAGACTCTATTTCAAATATACCTAATCGCAGTGACAAAGTTATATTGTCTGCCGAATTTTATGCTGACTTATTGTGGTGGATAAGTTTTATACATTTTTTTTACGGCACTGTTAAATTCATGGACACAAAGAAAGTGACTTCCTTACAAACTGACGCGTCTCTATTGGGAGGTGCTGGCTATTACAACGGGGATTTCTACTATGTGAATTGGGCTATTAACTTTCCGGCCGTCAAGAATGAACAAATTAACATTAAAGAGGCAGCCGCCGTTATTCTATCTGTGATCCGTTGGGGACACTTATGGAAAAACAAATCCGTAATTGTATTAACAGACAATATGACGACAAAATGCGTTTTGAATAAGGGAACCTCAAAAAACAAGTGGTTTGTGTGCTTACTGAGGTTTATTTTGGTTGTCCGCTATGTATACGTAGTTTTGTTTATTATACCTAGTAAGGTAAAATTGTATTTATCCGTAAACAGTTTTTTAGCACGTAGGTTTGAATTTTGCAAACCCCATTTTTTCAAGGCTCGTTTGAGTGGACCATGCTTTCAAACAGTACTTTTCTCATGGCTACACGCTAAAATGTTTGCTAGCTTTCCCACCCACCCTCCCAGTAGCATTACTAATTAGGGTGTTGTGTTTGCGTGATAACTGCTTCTATTTTTAGCCATATTATAGACTTTTGTTACACATATATTACTAGCATTTGGACTTTTTTATTACATGTACTTGTTTGTTATATGATGGGGATATGCATGTTATTGGGGGTTTATTTGCTTAAGGGTACCAAGCTCAAATAAATATTGCCATGCGTAGTTTTGTTTATTATACCAAGTAAGGTAAATTGTAAAATAAATAAAAAGGATAAAGAAGTAAGCAAACATACTGGCACAACACCCAACAGTAACAAACAACTCTTCAAAGAAAATAGATGTACAAACGAATAAAAACAAGAAACAATGCACGCAGGTCCAGATAGCCTGACTTTGTTTATGCACACACAATGTTCATGTGTTTTACGTACGCACAAACCTCCCCTTTCCATGTTTCAAACGACCAAAATGTCTACATTTTGACTTCTATAACAAATTTAACATCAATTATATTCTTTTATAAGTTTTTTTAATTTTTTACTCAGCCTTTTTTAGTACTTGCAAAAGTCTGTGCTTCGGTATTGACATGGCTTTAGGGTTATTGTATTAATATTGACGAATATTGTCCCTCGCAGTATATCATATTGCACGAGCGACAATATTCCTCAATTGTAGTGAAATACTCCTTTTATAATATAGTACCAAATATTTAAGTAATATTGATAATACTCCGTCAAATCCATACAGCTCTGATGCCTGCAGTAAGGTCGCTATGTTCATTTCCGCCATCTTGTTTATCATTCAACCTCTCTAGTGCAGACCATAAAGAAGTATTGAATGAAATATCGGCAAGGATGCAAAGTTTTAACTCATAAGAAACATTCTACTTTTTAAGTAAAAATGTATATAGTAAGGAAGATCAGTAAACATATATGCAAATTATGCATTTTTATTTTACAAAGAAATCTTTGTGAAATATTTGATTAGACTACATTATAAAATATATATATGTTTTATGTTGTATATTGTCATTACTTGATTTTTAAAGTGTTAATCGATGGTTGCTTGCTAAACGTCGATTACCAAATGTTTCATGCATATTCTGACGGGAACAAATCAATATTGATCTGCTTACCGTTCTGGTTTTATTGGTTGATTTTAATGGGGTTCGTAGTGTATTGTGGACTTGTTTGTTTTTTCGTCGTCTATCATTTTTTTTACCATGTCGTTGTCAGTTTATCTCTACTTATGAGTTTTGAATGTGCCCTTGGTATCCCCCTCATCTTTTTCAATACAAAAGGTAGATTCTGTAAAGAGGGTTGACCGAGATAAGGGGGTGAATTTTCGAGTTCAACTGGAAAAGTACGGTATGCATCCCGCCATTGTGTTGTTGTGCTGTGGTCATTTTTTGTATTCTTGTCTTTCATTTTTGCTTATGTGCTTTGTCTATATGCCATTTTGTTTTTCTTTGTTGACATATTTGTTTATTTTTATAGTGATTATAACACAATGTTGACTGCTGTACCCCTATATTTGACATTTTTACCTATTATGTCTGTTTGTTTTGTTCACACATGGTTGTCAATATCATGAAATTTTATGCGACTGTCATACAAGTGAGAGGTTTAGCTAGCTATGAAACCAGGTTTAATCCACCATTTTCTACATAAGGAAATGCCTGTATCAAGTCAGGATTATGACGATGATGAGTTTGAGCTTTTGATTTTGCCATGATATGTTTGATTAGGGACTTTCCGATTTAAATTTTCCTTGGAGTTCGGTATTTTTGTTATTTTACTTTTTGGATGGGACCAAAACTTTTAATTTTTAACAGGCTACTTATGGACCTTCAGAGAATGGTGCAAAGGTTTTTAATCTCTCTCAATCTTTACACGTGGCATAGTATTCAATGTCGTCGTTCAAACTGGCCAGGGCTGTGTATTTATAAGTTATGACGTTAACATGCAATCTTGACTTACAGTCATGTCTTTACAGTAAATAAAGTTCTAAATCGCTTCCAGTCTAGAAATTGTAAATGAATTTAACAAAGACTATAACAAATATATCACCACAGTATCACCAAATTCAAAAAAGGACAAACACATTAATATAAAAACATAAGATGTGGGTGTAATTTAATGAGACTAGGGTTGAAACAACTTAACAAATCTACAGGTCAACATAAAAACTTCCACTATAGCCAGATATCCATGCAATATAACAAGCTCTAAATCGTCCAGAATCTAAATAAAATTGTGATATGTTCAAAGATTTGCCATCAACACACACTTTTCTCAAATTAACAAAAAATAAATAATCAAGATACTTGTATCACATGAGATTTCGACCATTATGAAACTATAGTTTTTGTTTTAAATCGCAGCCCTCTTTATTATAAATTCGATCAGTGGACTAAAAAAAATGTATAAAACAAACAATAAAAAAAAAACACTCCAGAAAAAGTACTTTTAGTAGTTAACTTGCAAAAGATAACAAACAAAACAAACATGAACAAATTTACGACGTATCAAAGAATGCTCGCAGTTACTGAAAGGAAGCTCAAAGTACTTAACTTGCTGATATGTTACACTAATATTGGTAGTTGTACTTCATAGATTCCATACAACACCGTTATAAAAAGTACAAGAAGACACGATCTTGTCCAATACACAGAACAAACTGTACATTTTAAACGTAGAAAAATAACCAAAAATGAAAAAAAAAAAACAAAAAAAAAACAATTAGTGTTGCTCCAAGCTATAAATAAGCAAACTGATTGATATTTATCCATAAGTGTACCAGGCGCAGTTAGTTAACAAAAAAATAAAAAATGTAATATTTATAAGCAAGTCTCGTAAGGCAAGAATGAAGATTTCAAGAACAATTCCTAAACATGAATGTATCCATATATATGTGTTTATGTTTGTTTGTATGTTTGCACATGATTGTGTGTGCTTGTTTGTTTCACCGAAGTTTTAAAGGGTGAAATATTCTTTAACATCCAGTGCATTACTACGAATATTCAGAACAAGATACGTGATATAAATATTAATGTGTTTTTCGAAAGTTTATTTCTCGTTCGTTATACCAAATATGTTAACCTGGCTGTAAAAATTAATGTGATTATCATTCTGTATGTACGGAACCAATTATTGTTTTATTATCATAATATATAATTTTGTTGTATACAGTGTATCATATTTTCGTTGAATGAAAAAAATATCAGTTCATACATTTAAATGCCGTTAATTCAGGACGGTCGGAAAAAATGACAAAGATATATTCACGAATTTCGACTGTAATAAAATGTACACTTCAATTGTTCATTAAAAATTCTAACTGGTCACGTTTTTATAGTCAGCGTTTTTGAAACTGCATCACAAATCTCATTGCGTCACTGCAAACTATGAATACTAATGGGATACCAACTAAAAAAAGTCCAAAATATCCAATCGACACTGAAGACTTTCGATCATCTGGGGCGGATATTTTTGTGTTGAGATATGCTGACGTTGTCGTCTTATCAATGGTAAGATTTCGTTTAAGTTCATCTAAGTAATCATTCAGAAATATTTTCAGTTCAGCAATTGACATATTCATATTAGCAAGAAAGTTCCATTTAGTACTAACTGATGAACATGGGCACATACATGGCATCTGATAAGAAGTACTAGGATTGTTATAATTTGAAGACGAAGATACCATTTCCACTGCTGTAGTAGAAATAGACGAGCTTGACTCGGTAATTTGCGTGGACATAGTTTCTTTTATTGAAGACCTTGCTGAAGTTGAAACTGGCAGTTCAGCTACATGTGTACTAATTTCAGTTGACTGCACCAATGGAGATGCGGTTGACGTTTTTTCATTTCCTATTGAAACAGTTGTTTTATGTTCATCTATACTCGTCATAGTATTCACGGCAGTGGTAGTGGTTAACCTTTCAACTGTGGATGTAGACACTTCTGTTGTGGGTTCTACTACAGGAATGTTTATGGGCAAAGATTCGCCTCCTACAATGGAAGGGAAATGATAAACACAAAATGAATTAAAATCTCATAGTGATACAACTTTGAACCTAAAATAAATCGATATTTAAATCCTCTTTTATCTAATATATCTTGAGTGAACCTTTTTGCTAAACATTGTTCAACGTTCTTCTTTATGCGACGAGGCGTAGTTGTTTAAATATAAACTCTACCTCTGCATCGAGCGTGGTGAGATATTTTAACACTCATGACAGTTAAATTTCACAGGGCGCTTTAGATATTCATAATATAACTGTTCAGTGTGTAGATATGACGTATTGAAAGAGATTCGTTTATCGCATCTGTTTCTTTAACGAGTTATTATACGACATGTTGGGAAACTTTATCTTTTAAAATTTATATTTTCAATTTTATTACATAAATCGAACATCCATTGATTTTAGCAAGTCAAAATGAATACTTATATACGACGTTATAATGTCACAATAGCAAATTCAGATGAAAGCAAGGAAGTTGACGCCATACTTGAGATTCGACCAATGATGAACGAAGATCAAATGAACTACACGTTGATTATAAAAATATATTCAATCGGTCATGGAAAAGTATAAATCGGATCAGAATTGGAGAAACCCAAACACATCAGAGGACACAATTTCTTTTTTGTCTGTTCGTATTATACTATATTCAAGCTGCAGTAGCCAATGTAAATTCATAAAAGTTTAGAATATTTTTTATGTTGTCTAATAACATAAACATTACCAATTACAATGCACCAGATGCTCATTTGGACAATTAATGTCTCTACAGTGATATAATATATAATACAATATATATTAGCTTTATTTCCTTCTAATCAAAGATTTTGCAAGTAAACAATGTCAAACAATAATAAAGTATTTACATATTAAGCAAGATATTAGAGTGTTTGAATGATTTAAATGTGACATACAAATTAGAGTGATTGAATCAGTTGATTGTCACTTTTAATTAAGTGATAATATTTCTGAAGGTAAGTTAACTGTTATAGAAAACGCTGCACATTCGATGAACATGTGTTATACAAGTTTTCGAGAAATAAATGCTGTTATCATTATCCAGATCATATTCCGTATCACAAGAAAAAAGTGTTGCTGTGAAAGTGGTGGACGTTAGATTGACTAGTTTGGTAGAAATGACTGAAATGACACAGTCGTTCATAAACACGACGAAGTGAAAGACGGAATACATACTCCCCTAGTGGGAAAGTTCTGACTTACAATCATTATAAGGAATTTAAGAGTTTGTATCGTTAAACATATTTACAATAATCTTATTATAATACATGTTACCATTCAAGTTACTCACTAACAACTTATACCATAGTCCATCTGCCATACTTTATTGAAAACTTTAAATAGTTATTTTGGATTTCGACCAATCAGTACTCTGACCAAACATGTCCTAACAACAACAGAGCAAAAGATAATTATTAGTATATCAAATTCTCAGTAGATATCTTTAAACCAAAAATATAAATCACAAAAATTGCAGTTTCAAGCAACTTAAATATGAATAACAACTCACGTATATCATAAACGGCTATTCGATTTTTTCGTCCACACCGATCAGTCACGCTAATTGGACATGGAAATGCACAGTCCGAGCCAGTAGATGTTGTTGTAAATTGTATATCATTTCCACAGAAGCACTCAAATGTACCCTAAATTAAAATATATCTCCTTATTTTTTATTGTGAAATTTGAATGTTTACAATTGTAGTTATTATAACCTCTAAATGAGAGGCGTGTATTGGTACATCATTATAAACATTAATTTTGTTGGATATTGTCTTGCTATCAAGCACATTTTGTGTTTCAACTAATCTATGCAAACTATTTAACTCTCATATAAACTGTTTGTTTCATTTTAACGGTAATGAAATAGCATTAACGGTACAAATTTTTACTGCACCAGAGGCGCATTTCGAAAATTAATATTTGTTCATTGATGCTTGGCCCCAAATATTTAAAAATCCAAAACCAAATAAAAACGTAGAAATGCTGGTTAAACCAAAAAGGTCCAAAATGTATAGCCAAGTCCGGACTTGGACATCACCATATATGTTATACATGTATATTTACTATGTTATATTCTTTTTTATGTTTGATGTTTTGTTTATGTTTATTTCTACATTTATATTTTCCATAGTTATTTGTACAAATATTATAAAAAAAACCCATCCTTGTGGGCTGTAATGAATGCTGTAATTAAGACATATTTTGCCAAAAGTTAAATTTTCTGTGATTTTTATTTTTCTTTGAAAAATGTTGATCATTCTTTATTGAAAGATACTATGGAAGCCATATGGAAATATTATAATTAAGAAATGTATATATATCAGAATTAAGACAACTAATAAGTACTAACCAAATGAAATTATTATATACTAATAATGTTTAACGAGGCCAGGATAAGGTACCGGTACTTTCTATATCCTACTAACAAATGTCAAAATTATCAATAAAGTATGATACAATTAAAAAAAAAAACAATTTGAACAAGGAATCGCATGAGGGGGATATATTCCTTAATTCAAAATAATTTCCAAAATTGTATAGCAGCAAATTACAATCTACCAATATCCGTATTTTCATGCCACTACCGAAGTGTTTTGTTCCAGAGTTGGATATGTACGGCTATCTCCTCCTACAGTTTTTGATCTACAGCTTTAATATTTTGTAAAAAGTTCTACACGTATTAGAGGTATGCATGTCCACAGGATTTTGATTTTTTTTTACAGCTAAATATTCTCAAAATATCAGGTATTTAGATTTAGTAATTTATTTTGTACTCAGGGATACACCGTCCATATCTAGTTTTAGATTAGATGATTGGTGGATTTCCTAATTGTTTGTTCAATGTCTAGTGGCAAACATTTCATGCATATTCATGACAAGATCACATTGAAAAACATCGAATAGCCCTGCAAAGTAAGTAGACTGGGATGAAAATTGCAGTAAACGATAGACGTTAGATTGTCACTGGATAAAAGGGTAATTTAGGATAGCGAAAGAAATGTTGTAAAGAACTGTTTCAATGGTTCTTTAACTTGTACAATGGATTGTCACTTTCCCTACATGAGGCATCAGATTTCACCTCCCTATTTCCACACACGTTGCTGAGAATTTAAAGATTTCGCACAGTCAAACAGAAGACTGTTGTGGAATAGTCGTACTTCTCAGACGCAAAAACGTTGACCAGCATCTATAATACCCGGGGCCTTCTAGTGATTTTGATATTATAATTTCCAGAGTTATGAAACTTTTTATCGAAATATTATAAACAATTGTCGATATGTCTTGCTCTAAGTTCGACTTCTTTTACATTGTAAAATGAAGTTTTATAACAATCTTACAACTAGTAAAGGATATTCTCTTGAAAGTCTTTTAAATTTTTATATTGTTGCAATGATCAGGATAATCATAATAGGTAACACTCGTCCTTGAATATCAATTAGAAACTTTAAATTCCATATTCAGATGTTGCTACATAAAAATAGAAAGGTCACAATTAGAAAATCAAGGACATCTCTCTTGGCCTAAAATTAAGTTATCGTTGTCAGTTATGGTTTAAATCAAAACCATAATGATTTCTGGTATCCTTAATTTCAAGTTCACTGGGATAGATGCGATGACATAATCAATAAGATTTGATTTTTTAAGTGAGATGACACGTGAATTTAAGGATAATGTCAGCATATTTTAATTCTCTTGAGGAGTCCCGTTCTACCCTTCAGTATCAATACTTACCCATACGTCAAATTTTGTTGCTGCATAATTGTAATTCCAATCGGTGCATTTTTCCAAGCAGGAAACTGTCGTTGAGTCAGAACTAATAAAGTTTTGAAAGGCTGCCATGCCATTGTTATCATCTACCCAATAACAATCCATAACTATAAAGCCTTTTTCAATAAATAAAGGAAAAATTATAATATATTTAATATTTATTTAGTAGGTATATCACAGGTTTTGATTAGATTTGCGTACAACTATATTAACTAAATGTTTTATATCTTTTACTTTCATAAATATCACTAAGTGTAAATCCTAAAAATTGTAACCCAGTATTTTACAGTTGCAGTTAATAATATTTTCATGGAATAAATCTGTTTTCATGGAATAAATTTGCTATATCGTTGATACCGTGATACAGATATCAAACTTATCTGAAAAGTTGTCAAGCTTCTCGTTCATGCACACTTATTTCCTATGTCGTTCGTAAGTCGACAGTACGTTTTGTCTAGTGCTCATAAGGTAATAAGTAAATCAGAGTATACTTTTTTACTACCTGGTCAAATGCTAAATTTTTTCTTTCGAATATAAATACATAAAATCTTCATATTGGAATTACATATGATTCGCAGTTTACTTGTAAGTTATTTGGGTTGTGACATTTTGTGGAACTCTTCATTTGAGGAAAAGAAAAGGAATTAGCATACTTTTCTACGTCTAAGCTTACATTCCGGTTTTCATCGTGTATGTAATACATTCAATTAAATTCTCGTCTAAATTTGGATGAACAAAGTGTTGTGTCTGCAACAAACACTTTCATCGGTTGTCGTCATTTACTGGCTATTTGATCCACTTTGCACCATTCTTTCTGTAAGGATTCGATCCGTTGATGATTGTGATGCTGATTTGGCGACGGATTTCGACTTAACTTCAACTGTCTAATATTCTGGTCGAATTACATGTATAACTTGACCCATATTGTTCTGATTCTCCAGGAGCTAATTGATACTACTATACAAATAAGGAGATGTGGTATGATTGCCAATGAGACAACTATCCACCAAAGTTCAAATGAAGTAGATGTGAGCAATTATAGGCAACCGTACGGCCTTCAACAATGAGAAAAACCCATACCGTATAGTCGGCTATTAAAGGCCCCGATTAGAAAAATATGACACAATTCAAATGAGAAAACTAACGGCCTAATTTATAACAAAACAATTTACGAAAAACAAATATGACAGACATGAACCAACGACAACCACTGAACTACAGGCTCCTGACTAGGGACAGGCGGGGTTTATCAGAATTTTTTTTTTATAATAAAACCAAAAAACAAACTGTATTTTTTTCCAGTGCAGTTCTTTTAAATTAACACCCTTAAGAAAAACCAAACCTACATTACACATTGCATTGTCCAAAATATGCATCTTAGGCCTCTTTCTTAATGCGAGACGTAATCTATATGTAGTCGGTACGCGCAAATCGATAAAGAAATGGCTCATCGCAACGTTGGCCTGTCAAAACTACAGACTTATTTGGACACAATAGAATGGTGTTTCTCATGTTGAGACCAAACTATAGTTTTGCAATTGACTTATTGTCCTACATCTTGTCGATACTTATATTTTGGCATTGCACAAGATCATGTATATATTATATATTATATTGTTTATCTTTGTATATTGGTAGATTGATTATGTTTTATTCGTGTAGTTAATATTGTATGTATATAGTCTTGTTGAAAATTTGTTCAATCCAAATGAGTTACTCTAATAAAGATATTATTATTGTTATGCATTTCTCGGACTATTAATGCAGTCTTTACACTTAAAACGTCACATGAGCACTAGTAGTACGATGATGATGTGTTTGTTGCCAAATCTTAATGTGTTTAGATATCCCATCTCGTTCGCTTTGAAGTCTGTTATATCGGTGGTGAATTATTTAGTCAGGTATTTTGTTACAACAAGTTACGTTAAACATTTACTAATTTCTTTCATATATACACATATTTGGTTTGGAAGTTTGGCTGTACGTATAGAAAACCTTTTACAAAAAGGGATATCGCATCTTCATTTTACGGTGATTTTGTTTATAGAGCCCGCAAATACGATTCATGTAAACTTATCGATCCTTTGGATGAACTTATTGTAAAAGGTTACCAATAAAGCACTGGTATAAGATCTTTAAATTTTGTTTTAATTGGTGCTTACAAAGATTTTGATTTTATTAAATTAAATAACCTTAACAGTTATGAACACTTGCGGTCCTACATCCTGGCGATACTTATACTTTGGCATTGCACATGGTTATGTTTTTCTGGTTTTACATTTAATCCATTTGATGTGTACTGATTGATATTTTAGGCTAGTAAACATTCTTATATATGTCCACCTACGATCTTCAAAAATATATTAGTATATATGATCAACTGGTGAGACGAGGAATTCCGAACCTACTTCTTATGTCATACTATTATAACTAGAACTTTAATAGATTTAGCGCGACAAGTTTTGTCCTACATAACATCATTATACTTTCAAACTAACATATTGTGTAAGGTCCTGTAAGGATAGGATTGAAAATCTTCTGTTGTAGTGGTGTTCGTTTTTTCCATAGCTTTCTTTTGACATACATGTAAATTGTTATAATATTAAACAAAGTGTCCACGTTACACACAAGTACGCACACGTGAAAATCAATTAAAAACGAAACAGCTTGAAAATGTCAAAGCTATAATTTATTTCATTGATTAATCTTACTTTTAAGTTTTAATTAAATAGCACAACTAATTTAATCGATGATTTCAAGACTGTTATAATTATTATAATCGACCAAGGATTGTTGTTCCTTTTCTTATATGTAAACTTTAAAATGTTTAACAAAGAGCAAACGTCATTCGTCTTTGTCGTTCTTGTTAGCACATCTTTAACAATGACAAACATTTTCACATTTAATTATCATACACCAATTGAACATTCCCTGATTCAGTGTTTCATATTCCCTCCCTTAAAAAGAATAGTAAGCAAAACGAATAATTTAAATTTTCCATTAAAAAGAACATCAAACTTTAAAAACAAATCTTAAAGGTTAGTGCGAATCGATTTTTGTTTTACTGCAAAATTGTAATCTGAATGACATTTGATGTTGTACCTACATACATTTTACAGATTGTAGAAGATTAGATTTCTGTGCATCATTAATACTATCAGTAAAGGTAGAATTAAAGTTTAAAAAATGTGTTACTATTTTGTGTATATGTCTGTTAACAATATATTACAAACTACCAAGGGAGGGGCGCATTTCATTTGCGCCAATTTGTTAAAAATGGATTTCATTTGCGCCATAAAATAAATACTGCGTTCGCTCCAATATACAGGTAAAATATAACGAACAAATTTTGATATGTTGCATCATGAATACGAGGCTCGTATAAGAAATTTTGTAGAAATAAACCCTAGGGAAGCAAGTGAGTTCATACTCATAATTCATTCGAAGAAAAAATGAAGAAACTTCTGTATTTTATTATGACTACACATGTAGGAGTTCTAATGTATTGAAAACGGGAGACATGTCGTATAGATGTACTATAAAAAGTTGTATATTAACCAGATGGCAGAATCAAAACAGATGTGGACAACAAAACCTTTAATATATTGAATGAACACAGTCAACCACGGTTTTGACCAGCAGAAAGTAGGATCTCAGCATTTAAAAAATAAAATAATCAGTGTTGAATGTTTTAAATTTCATTTTGGTTTTATAATGTGTGGTGATTGTGATTTATGATGAATGAGTTGTAACTATGCTGTAACATTATTATTAACAGTCTCTTTTAATACGTATATATATACAACTCGTCTAAACATCAGCCCAACAATGTTAGATCTGTAAATTTGCTTTCGCAAATTTTTTGTTCTTCCCTGCACTGTATATGACGCGCTAGACCACTCGACCATCTAGGCTTCACAATAATAAAGCTTTCGGTGGCCGGGTGTTACCTTTCCTCGTCAGTTTTAATCTAGCGTCGTATATATATATATATAGGTTTGAACGTTGTTTTCAATTTAGACTTGTTTATATATATATATATATATATATTTATATATATATATATATATATATATATATATATAAAAGCAAAATTCTGGAAAAGACCCTGGTCGTTGAAGGACCAAAACTTTGTTGTGGAGAAATAACTACATACATTCCAGAACACATTTCAAGAAATTACAATCTAATACAAATGTATTCCATTAATAAAGTACAGTGCATTTCATAAACAAAAATCGAATGCATATTTATACTTTTCTGTTTGTTTTTAACTTAATAGCAAGCAGAACAATTTGTTTTAAAGAGAACAGTGGAAAGTTCCTGTATGGTGTAGATTAAACAATATGAGATCTAATCGATTAAATGCAAAAGTTCATAAGTGGACTTATAATATGAGTATAAAGTGCAAATGTGTTAAAAACTCGAACTTTTTAGTCAGGAAAACAACTAAATTTAACTTATTTACTGTGTCCTGAAAATATAGACACTAATTGGGTAGTAAATCTTTTGATGTCAAAATTGCACAATCAATATGTCGATAATGGGCATGCAGTTTTACATTTTTTTGGACCATTTTATGCAGAAAATTATTATTTTTTTCGGGCATTTTCCCGGTATGCCATGCTTTTGAAATCCACATCACTCCTTCACGCCCAAACTCCTATTTTGTGAATATTTGTGGACTTTATAGTGATTCGGCAAGGGAGGAGGCTATGGACCACTCAAAGTCCCCAGCTGGTCCAGGGTAGCACCCTAGTCGGGGATCCAGGGCAGCATCGTATACGGTGGTGCAGGGAAGCGAATCACCATGAAGCTCCGGGCATATGAGTAATTACAGTGACTGCTTTGAACATGAAAAACCCTATCTGTTTCTTACTATACCATATTTTCATGAAACGATAGTAAAAGTCTAGTGAGTTCCGTAATTTGCTGCATATATTATTAACATGGTTATTTTCAAATATAAAATAAATTTTATAAAACGGGGAGATCAGGAAGAGTCGACAACCGAAGCGTTAATCAATGGACAATTGACAAACCCGGGAACAGATAAGACACAAAAGGAGAAACAAAAACATTCAACATTGAAAACTAAATACAGATGAAAAACACGGACCCAAAACAACAATGTGGCTACCTCCGGTGCTCCGGAAGGGTAAGCAGTTACTGCTTCTTGCAAGACACCCGTAGTGTTTCTCACGAAGGTCATTCTCAAATCAAAGGAGAGGTTTCTACGACAACGGTAGAAGGTCATTTGGGACACAGATACCCCAGGTGAATTAATAGTCTTTTGGACGAACGGATAATAGGAATACAAAATCTAACGGCCACTTTTAAGTCTTGACTTATAAGTAAGGGAAATAAATCTAAGATGTTTTCAAGGTGATTGTATTGAGCCTGTATTATTAAATGTTAATACTGCATGTAAGACTTAAAGTATAGTTAATATCGAAAGTCCATTTATCTATTTTTAGCCAAGGCAAATGATCGCAGAACTCTCTCGGTGTTGATATCCATTTCTTTGTGAACATGTATGAGCGCCAACGAAGATAGTCTGTCCTGTACCATGGTTGAACGGAGAAGTTTTCGGTCGCCGTAATGCACTAAATGACCGTTCAGTAGTTGGTGTAGTGACTGGCATTGTAACAACTAGAATTGAGAAGATTGCGAATATTGAAGGATATAGTTCCTTATTAGTCACTGCTAGAGACGACATCAGAGATTTGTTCTTTAAACTCCGCCCGACACGATAATCTGTAAATACTCAAAACTATCCGTAATTCAATTTCAGAATTTTTTTTTTTTTTTTGTGAAAAAAATGTGCAAGCAAATGATTTTTTGCGTAAAGGCAGCTACGCGGCTGCCGGGCTACGGACGTACAAATTCTTCAATAGAAAATTTTGAATTTGAAGAATACTGTAAAAAGGCTTTGATATTCCACACAAGCGCTTTTGACAAATTTAGATGTGGTGTAGCCCCACTGAGGATTGAAACCGGGACATATGAAAATATAGTTTTAGAAAACATGAGATTGTTTTATTGAAGTGTCCTCTAAATAACGATTTTAGAAACCATTTATATTATATATGTTGCTGAAACTTTTAATGTAAACTTTAATAATTAGATGACAAAACCAAAAATTAGTGTTTTTATTCTCAGATGTAGATATGATACGTGTGTGTGTGTGTGCAAAACCCTGTTATTTAATTTTGAGAAGACATAGAAATATTTAATTGTAAATAGTACTGTGCTTCATTTCATATTGTTTAATGTAGTATATCTATGCATTTTAATAGTCTCTTATAAATTCTGTATAGAATAGCTTTCATTTTATATGTTTTGAATATTATAAATATGTATTGTAATTGTCGAGAGTAAGACTTTGGTCACTTGTGGAGAGTTGTCTCATTGGCAATCATACCACATCTTCTTTTTTTTTTTATATTTAGTAAAACATTGAATTGAATTGATTTGATCATTTAAAACATAGCACAAACAAAAAAGCTTATTCCAAAAATAAACATGAAGTATTTAGTACAAAAAAGAAGTGATAAAAAGAAAAGTGGCTAATTAAATAACCTCGTAAATATTTATTTTAACTGAATGAATGAAGGGGTTTTACTTAAAACGAAATACCCATCAATTGGTCACTCGACGACGTGTTAATCTAAATATTACCAACGAATCGTATCGAAAAAGTAAACTGGACAGAAACGGAAATGTAATATATTACTGAAAACCATACAATATTACAGCTTTTTATTCTCAAAATTTATCAAGTTGAGTAAATAAATTCTAAAAAATATCAAACTTACCTTCAACATAATATGTATGAAATCCTGATAGAATTTCATATGTTAGATAAGTAAGAATAAATATTTGCACCATTGTTTTAAGCTGTAATTCCACAAGTTTTCTTTTCAAACATGATTGACGGTTTTGTTTGGAACGCAAACTGCAGTTTGATATTGCTCTCTTTAATGTATACGCAACACTGAACGTAGATCACAAGTTTCATATTCGGATTAACTAGCAATTAGATTAATTTCATAGTTCACGATCTTTCCTTTACCTGAAATATTGATTGTCTTCACTGCTCTGTTGAATTGCAACAAACATTTAAAATACTTCGTAATAATTATTGTTTCCCTGTATTACGTGGACAATTTATTAATACATTCTCAAGTTTCAACGCGGTATTTAGTGGATTGAAAATTTTAATATGAACCCGATATTTTTGAAGTATAATGTACTTGACTGAGTTTTCGCCTTGTGGCAATTATCAGCACCAGCTCAGTTGTATAGTATGGTCGAGTAGACTGACATTTCTTGACGCGAACTCTTTACCTTATGACCTTGAAATATTCACGTCATTTTATGAATTTTATATCTACCACTAGACAACATTATAAACAAATGTATACATAGATATAAGAAGATGTGGTATGAGTGCCAATGAGACAACTCTCCATCCAAGTCAAAATATTTAAGAGTAAACCATTATAGGTCAAAGTACGGTCTTGCACCGAACAGCAAGATATAAAGGGCCCCCAAAATAACTAGTGTAAAACCATTCAAACAGGAAAACCAACGGTCTAATCTATATAAAAAACGAGAAACGAGAAACACTTATGAACCACATCAACAAACGACAACTACTGAACATCAGATTCCTGACTTAGTACAGGTGCAAACAATTGCAGCGGGTTTAAACGTTTTAATGTACCAAACCTTCACCCTTATCTGAAACAATAGTGTAACATCACAACATAGAAAGACACACTATAAGATATCAATTGCAATGGCATAACTCAATCAAAAGACATATTAACACCAGTGAATATACACTGAACAAATAAATTTGATCTATGATACAATTACTTTAAACACAGGTAAATGAAAATAATTTTGTAGTTAGATATACTTGTACAGTCCAAATGGAGAAAGGAAATATTTTTGATGTTCATAGTACGAAGAAGTGAAAATTTATAGTAATACCAAACACTTATTAAAGCTGGTATATTGACCAGATATAGCCCTGAATAAGTAAACATTCAATAACAAAAAAGCATTACAATTAGTATCAACAGGTAAAAAAAAACAAGAAAGTACGATTTGAGAGTACTCGCAGTTACTGAAAGCAAGTTAAAAGCCAAAAACAATTAATAATATCATGCATCAGAGACTAAAATTAACTAAAACACATCCCAGGGATTTAGTATATTAACGTCATGGACAGTCAAAGAAGACATGACTTGTGTAATGCCAAAAATAAATGTATCGACAGGCAGTAGGATAGTTAGGAGTTAACCTCTTTATAGATCAAAATGAACGTAAGTGTGACTTTATATATCCCATTTGAAAAGAATACAAATTTAGTTATGTTTTAATTTGCTGATGACAAAATCGATATTAGTGTCAATGTAAACTATATTCAAAGATCTAATTACAAAATTGGTAAGATAACCTTTACTAATAAGTTTGTTTAAAGGTTCGATAAGTTTACACGGATCACATAGTGATTTCCGCGCTTTAAGTACAATATTACCGTAAAATTTAGGATGTGAAATACCGTTTTTAATCAGTTTTCTACATATACATCCAAATTTACTAATCAAATCCTCGTATCTATGAAAGAATTTAGTAAAAGTTTTACGTAATTTATGGTAACGAAATCCCTGACTTAATAATTTACCAGTGATGCATTGATTACGTTCGTTAAAATCTATGACATCACTACACACATTGGCATAACGAACGAGTTGGGATATATAAACACCGTATGATGGAGTCAAAGAAACATCGCCGTCTAAAAAAGGAAAATTAACAACAGGGAATGAAAAGTCGTCTCTTTTGTCGTAAATTTTAGTATGAAGTTTTCCTTTAGAGATTGAAATGTCAAAATCTAGAAAAGGACAACTACTGCTGTTTATGTTAGATTTAGTTAAAGTAAGTTCTTTTGGGTAAATTTCGGTAGTATATTTAGAGAACTCTGGATTATTTAACGAAAAAATATCACCCAGATAACGGAAGGTATTGTTGAATGTATCAACCAAATGTAACAATGACGTGTCTTTACTAAGTTTGGTCATAAACTGAGATTCATAGCAATACAGGAATAAATCTGCTATTAAAGGGGCGCAGTTAGTGCCCATAGGAATACCTACTACTTGTCGATACACTTTATCGCCGAAACGTACATATATGTTGTCCAGGTGAAAATTTAAAGCTTCAATCATATCTTCACATTTCCAATAAGTGTATCTAGCATACTTTCCTTTTTCGTTACAGAAAAAGGCTTTAAATGAGTCACAGCAAATAAATTTGCAGAGAGATTTTTCAAAAGACCATTTAATTAAATATGAAAACTTTTTCTTGGTAAGATGTGTGGAAGTGTAGTAAAGAGAGTAGAAAAATTATAACTGTCAACAGAATTAAAAGGACCATCAAAAGAATGTATTTTATCTAAAACCTCTAAAGAATTTTTAACACTCCAAAAATAATTAATACCATTATTTTCATAAGCTTTATTATAAAAGTTAATAACAAGTTCTTTAATAGTAGTAAGGGAGTTAGTTAGAAGCACTGATAGATTGGTAGTAGAACACTTACTAGATGCGGAGATGAAACGGAATTTAAATGTTTTTTTGTGCAATTTAGGTAACCAGTACATAGTAGGGACTTTCAAATGTTCGGAAGAGGCTTTAAGCTGGGTAGTGGCAGTGATATGCTTGTTTACAATTTGACTCACTGTGGAGCGTACGGACCTGAATGTAGAAGAATTTATAATTTCGTTTTGAAAAGAAAAGAGAAAAATAATAAATAAATAAATAAATAAATAGAAAAGCAAAAAATAAAAAACACGAACACTTTTTGAAATTTTGGCAACAGTATATATATTCACAACTAAAATATGTCTTAAAATGGAGCATTTAACACACTTGGCAAGGATGGTTTTCTGATGTAAAAATTATACAAGCACAGACAGCTATTAAAACATACATGTGGTTAAAAGCAAAAACAAAAACAATAACAAACAAAAAGACTTATACCATATAATATTTATATATGGTGGTGTGGATAGACAATATACAGAGTAATACTACATAAGGTAATGCTAAGTTATTTTAGTATAAACTATTCTAGTAATGGAAGCCAGGGATTCAGCAGAGATTTGCAATTTAAAGAGGCGTAATTTAAAAAAATATATATTCTTTTCTAGTATTATATTTTCTTTAAGATAATTTTTGAGCCTTGTACAATTCACTTTATTTTCACATAGTTTTGTTCTCTAAATAAAGAATTTTGATAGAGTATTATTAAGGTTTTTTATGTTGCTATTTCCTGTTTTTCCTAAATTTCCAAACCAAATTATATTCATGTTTACCGGAATTATTATTTTTGTGTGTTTGGTTATAAATCCGATCACCGAGTTATACATGAATATTTGTAAATTCTCAGTATGTAATAGTTGGGTTTAAAACTTGAATTAATGGATTATCAAATTTTCTGTCCGGAAATCAGCGCTGTAGATTAATTAACAAATCACAAATTAAAAGAATGAGCTTTCTTCGTTTTAATAAGTTTAAAACATTTTAATAGAAGAAAAAACGGAATATATATCTATATGCCACATCAACTTAATGACATAAAGCAAATAGATATCCAGATATCAACCATCAACCTAATGACATAAAGCAAATAGACATCCAGATATCAACCATCAACCTAATGACATAAAGCAAATAGACATCCAGATATCAACCATCAACCTAATGACATAAAGCAAATAGACATCCAGATATCAACCATCAACCTAATGACATAAAGCAAATAGACATCCAGATATCAAGACAAACATTAAACAGGTATACATTAAAGGAAACGTCAATAAAACACAAACCATGGATGTTTTAAGATATTTTTTTTTCAATTGTGTGGCTTCATTTTCATATTGAATTACAATAAAAAAAATCATATAAAGGGTAACAGGAATTACCACAAATATAGTACTGACCAACACATCGAATCCTCAGAGAAAATAAAAGACAAACAACAAATGGTCCAGATAGCATTAGTAGAGATTTACAATAACTGTCCGACTTGGAGTCCGAGAACGAGTACGACTACAAATTTCATACAGGTAAGCTATAGGGGTGATAATGTGTACGCTACTTAATTTTACCGTGCTCAATCTTTGTGTGGTGATAGCACGAAACCGTTTATCAAATTAATTTTCTTTTTTTTCACTGAAGAGTAGAAAGTGCGCTTTTTCGTTTAAGCTTGCTAGAAGATATGGTCAGAATTAAAAAAACTTCGATAACAAATATTTTGTTTTCTCCAGTTAAATGATAAAGTTTACCGATTACATAAAAAAAAAACTCTTCAAGTTTAAAAAATGGTCTTTTCATAGCTGACGAATTATTTCAAAGCGAATCGAATAATACTATTGCTCAGCTTTTTTAATTATTTTGTTTATGTTTTGAGGCTATTTGTGTCCACGGTGTATAGTCTTGGAGAATAATACGGAGCCCCTTAAGGTATAGAACCACTAATTAAGGCCCGGTCGGAAAGAACATACAAGAAAGTAGTACATATTTTAAACCAAATAGTTCCTACGCATAGCTGTATTTTTTTTTGTCAATAGATGGAATGTTTGGGTAGTTTTGGTATCAAATGAAAGTTTGGGGACTTGGGAGCACTGTAGAACCCTTGTTGAAAGTTTCTTTTGAATAATAAAGAAGTATATACAATTTTAATAGGAGGGCACATTTGCCCTGTTGTTCTGATCAGAAGTACCTGTTTTTGTACTATCAAACTTTCGGGAACCAGTACGCTCTTATATGCAATTAAAGGTATGTTGAATTTTTCAGCACAAGTCAGGATAAGGTATAGTTTTGACATGAAATAACTGCTACGTTATTTGAACTTAAGACAAAGTAGCCATTAATGCTTGAAATTGCAGAATTTAACATAGAAAGCAATGGGGCTATGAATTAGTGGTTGTATACCTTAAGTGCTATGTAATAAAATATCAATATTTTTGTTTGCCAGAAATTTAATCTGGTGCGCACTAGTTTGAAAATTCGTGCGCAAATTTGTATAGAGTCAGTCAAACTTTGTTTGAAAGTTATGC